GACACGGTGCTCCTTCCAGTGTAATAACGGACAGAGGGACGGCATTCACGGCGCAGCTTACGGACGAAGTTTTCAAACTGAGCAACACCAGACACCGAAGGACAACTGCGTACCACCCGCAAACCAACGGACTTACTGAACGACTGAACAAGACCCTCGCAGACATGATCTCAATGTACATCGACGTACAGCACAAAACATGGGACCGGATCTTGCCTTACGTGACCTTCGCGTATAATACCGCCGTGCAAGAGACCACGCGATTCACGCCATTTCGGCTTCTCTACGGCCGCGAAGTGCAGACCATGCTAGACTCAATGCTACCGTGTCAGGACGAAGACGAGTTGGCAACAGACGCCGAAGAATTCGCAGAGCGTGCCGAGGAAGCCCGGCAGCTCGCGCGACTGCACATCGGCCAGCAACAGCAGGCAGACACACGACGCTATAATACCCGCCACAGAGAAGTGTTTTACAACCCCGGAGATCAAGTTTGGGTGTGGACGCCCGTCCGCCGCCGTGGCCTTAGTGAAAGTTGCTGAGCCGGTACTTTGGCCCATATAAAGTGTTACGCCGCGTCAGTGACGTGAACTACGAAGTGGTTCCGGACTCAACACCCCATGCACGGAGCAGGACACGGCTGAGGCCGGACGTCGTTCATGTGTTGCGCATGAAGCCATTTATTGCGCGTTGTTCGTAACTTTTCCTTTACCGTACAGCGTTCTTTGTGTTTTTTGTTTATTTTGTGAACTTACTTTCTCGTTCATTGACGTTTCCTATGTTGGCACGCTCTTCAATTTTTACTTTCACTTCATCCAAACTTCCATTTTTTTTCACGTGCCTATGTAGTAGCATCGCGGTGCTCCTATGTACTTCCCTTTCCTCTTTTTGGTACTTGTTTTTTTTTTCTTTTCGGAAGGGGGGATGATGCCGCCAGCACGTAGTGGGTCGACAGCAAGAGCGGCTCTAAATCTGGAGGAAAAAAGAAGATCGCGTTCTTCTTTGCTCGAGAGCCAGCCACGACTGACGCATCGTCCTAGTGCTAGCTACCTGGTGCTTTATTAAATCCCCCAGTACTTGTGACTCATCGTGACAATATGCACAGTCCGAGAGGTCTTGGGGCAGCCTCGTGGGATTGAAAGGAGGGTAGCGGAGGCCAATTGTGTGATCAAGGGTTTGGGCCAGCAACTCGGATACAGCATAATGGAAGTTAACCAAGACGTGTACGGTGCATTTATACATAAAAGAATGGGTTGGCAAAGAGTCAAGCAGGGATGCATGGAACATTTATGGTTAAGAGGGAAAGTACTGGGCAGATGACACTCCTTGGTTTGGTGTACTTGTGGACGGGAGCAAAGGCCAGAGAGGAAAACCAGGCAATTGTGGAGTGTATATCTAAGGACATTGAGGAATTAGGAGAAGAGTGCGAGATAATTATACTAGGATATATGAATGCACACATAGAAGATATAGATGGGTATACTGACTCAACAGGCAAAATGATCATGGATATGTGTGAAAGGCATGATTTGATCATTTGCAATAGTACCGAAAAGTGTGAAGGGCAAATAACATGGGAGGTAGGAAGGCTGCAGTCAACGATAGATTACGCACTGATGTCACATAGGATGTATGATAAGCTCAGGGGAATGCACATAGATGAAGGTGGCTCCAGAACTCTGGGTAGTGATCACAAACGTATCAACCTAAGTTTTGGAAGAGCAGTGAAAGTGGGAAGGATACAAGATGAGCAACTACAGGAAAATTTTCATTCAGAAAGGCAAATATAAATTGCTACTAAACAAATTGAGAAAGTAATCACTGAGGATAATAAAACTGTGTGGACATACACAAATCTAATTAGACTGCTTGGGCTAGAGCCTACTAAGGCACGTGAGAAGTCACCCCGGAAAAGAAGACACAAGCCCAAGAGTTGGTGGGATGAGGAAGTTAAGAGAGCCATAGCAAAACGTCAGGAAGCCTCTAGGGAACACAGACATGCTAAGCAACGGGGTGAACTGACAGATTATGTTGAAAGAAAGTGGGAAATCTTTCTAAGCTCTAGAAGGGAAGCATCCCTCCTGATCAATGAAAAGATTAAAAGAAAGGGTGCTCAGTGGCTGGCAGAAGTACATAAAAAGGACAGAAAGGCAGCTGCGAAATTTTGGAATAATCTAAACTCCCTAAGAAGTGAAACAAACCTAGAGCAGAGGTTTATAACTACAGCTCAAGGTGCTAGGCTAAAAGGGGACGAAGCTATTGAATATATAAGAACAAGGGTGACAGAAAAATTTCAACAAAGAAGTGCCTTATGCACCACAATAGACAAGGATGGATCAAGTGGCACAATGGCTCCATTTTCACAACGAGAGTGGAAAAGGGCTGAGAAGAGGGTTCTAAGTAGTACATCAACAAGCCCAGATGGCCTTCCAATTATGCTGATAAAGACATTGGGTCCGAACTCTAAACAGACTTTGAGAGAGGCATTGAGCAGAACAATAATCGATGGTGAAGTCCCTGATGGATGGAAACTTAGCAGGATGAGCATGATCTATAAAGGAAAGGGGGACAAAGATGACATAAACAACTACGTCCTATAACAGTGACATCAGTGGTCTACAGGCTGGCGATGCAGATTATAAAGGAAAGACTGCAGGCATGGATAGAGGATGAGGGGGTGCTGGGAGAACTGCAGAATGGGTTTCGGAAACACAGGAGGTTGGAAGACAATCTGTTCTCACTGACGCAGTGCATCGAAATAGCAGAAAAGGAACTCAGGTCCCTGTGGCTAGCATTTTTGGATATCAAGGGAGCGTACGATAGCGTGGTTCAAGAGGAATTGTAGGGAATGCTAGACACACTGGGTGTGGAAGATGGAGTCACTAATCTTTTAAAGGAAATCTATAAAAGTAACAAGGTAGTTATAAAGTGGGAAAAACAGGTATCTAAGCCCACAGAGGTGAAACGGGGGCTTAGGCAGGGGTGTCCTCTGCCACCCTTGTTATTCATGATGTACCTACAAGGATTAGAAGCCAAATTAGAGGGAAGTGGACTGGGCTTCAACCTCTCTTTCGTCAAACAAGGAAAACTGATTGAACAGGCACTGCCAGCATTGATGTACGCAGATGATATAGCGCTAATGGGTGACAACAAGGAAGATTTGCAGACATTTGTGGACATCTGTGGTATAATAAGGGAGATAGGTTAATTAATTAAATTTCAGATTCAGTAAGGAAAAATCAGCAGTCATGATTTTTAATGACAATGGAGTTAGTGAGTTTAGAATACAGGAGGTCACGCTAGAGATAACAGACAAATACAAATATCTGGGAGTATAGATAAGCAATGGGACCGAGTACCTGAGGGAACACGAAATATACGTGACGACTAAAGGTAACAGGAATGCAGCAGTGATGGAAAATAGGGCATTGTGGAATTACAATAGGTATGTTGTTGTGAGAGGAATATGGAAAGGGGTCATGGTTCCTGGGCTGACATTCGGCAATGCGGTCTTGTGCATGAGATCAGAAGTTCAAGCAAGGTTAGAAATTAAGCAACGTGAAATAGGTAGGCTTGCTTTAGGAGCTCACGGGAATACACCAAATCAGGGAGGAGAAGGTGATATGGGATGGACATCATTTGAGGGCAGGGAAGCTAGCAGCAAGATAAAATTTGAGACGAGATTGAGAGAAATGGGGGAGGAGCATTGGGCTAGGAAGGTTTTCAGCTACTTGTACATGAAGAATGTCGATACAAAATGGAGAAAGCAAACCAGGAAATTGACTGGTTAATACTTGGAAAACAGCAGGGGGCCAGACTAAAAAGAGCTATCGGTTAAGAAGAAAGTGAAGGAAACGGAAACTGACATGTGCAGAATTGGCATGATTTTGAAGTCCGCACTAGAGATCTATCGAACTTTTAAGCAGAAAAATACCAAAGAAAGGATCTATGATGATACTCGGAATATTTCTCTACTGTTTGAGGCCAGGACGGGAGTACTGCGAACCAAGACATATCGGGCAAAATACGAAGGGGTAGACACAGTATGCAGTGCGTGTGGAGAGGAAGAAGAAACTGCCGAACACTTGATAATGTTCTGTAAAGGGCTTCAACCTATAGTTCAGGATGATGGCGCAGAGTTTCTGAAAGCACTGGGGTTTAGGGACAGGGAGGGCAAAATAGACTTTAAGCGGGTAGAATTAACTAGAATGAGGTTATCTGATTGGTGGCTAAAGTCAAGGCACGAGTGAAAATTAAACCCTTCACTGCAAAGTACGAATCCTCAACCTCACTATTTAAAGAAAAAAATAGATAAATCCAATGGTTTGTTCACGAAGTATTACGGCTAGGTGGCGTTAGCCGCCGCCCGATCTAAAGGGTACAGCCACATCCATCCATTCATCCATCCATCTATCTATCCATCCATCCATCCATCCATTCTCATCAAATACGGAGCCGCTGCACGTGCCTGCACCCAAGGACGAGTGACGTCGCCACGCATTGCGTAATATAGCCTTACTGTTTATGTAAGTTTAGTCATCTCGATGGCAAGAATGTCCTGTCTTTGTTGAACAATTTTTGCATCGTACGTCACTGCATACACTATAAGTTCTTTCGCTGTATATAACAGCTTGCATTGTACATACGCATTGTTCACCATTGTCTATTTTTATGTGTGCACATAGGCTGTGTATGATATATCCGGAAATAAAATTTTCTTAAACCAAGAGTCGCCAGACAGGAAGGCGCCGCCACGTGATGACGCCGTTGAGTTGTTCGCGTCAGGCGGGCTCGCGTGCTGGCCTTGACACAGATAGCCTTTTTCAGAGGCACGGATAGATAGATATGTGGGGTTTAACGTCCCAAAACCACCATATGATTATGAGAGACGCCGTAGTGGAGGGCTCCGGAAATTTCGACCACCTGGGGTTCTTTAACGTGCACCCAAATCTGAGCACACGGGCCTACAACATTTCCGCCTCCATCAGAAATGCAGCCGCCGCTGCCGGGATTCGAACCCGCGACCTGCGGGTCAGCAGCCGAGTACCTTAGCCACTAGACCACCGCGGCGGGGCCAGAGGCACGGACGTTCGCTGCAGACTCGCAGGCATAACAGCACCCCCGCCGCCAGACAATGCGCCGGAAAGACGAGCTGCTTCCACGTGGCTCGGATGTCAGGCGCGCTCGTTCGCCATGTCCCTCCAGGTTCGCCTCCAGGGCCATGGGGGGTGGGGGGGGAGTCTCCTCGACAAAGGGTGGTCTCCGCTTGGTGTCTGGTCTACCGGTCACGCCGCTGCTGCTGCCGGTTTGAAATATATTTCATCCACAGCCTCGTCGATGCGGCGTCTCTCTTCCGTAACAATATTAACATATCAAAGCCACTTGATCTTTAAGTGGGTACCACCAGAAAAAGAGCATGTTTCCGCCATCTTGGCAGTGGAAAAAGCTGGCTTCACTTCTGCTGGCAAAGCGTTGCGGGAGCTTCTACTCCAGCAGTTTTTTCTTCAATATTCTTTGGTGCCGGCACACCTACCCCACCCAAGTGGAGCGTGAAAGAGCATCGCCAATTGGCTTATTTGTCCCCGCTTGCGTGCGGCAGGGGTCCCGCCACGTGCGGGGTGGCTGTGCGGATAGTGCGTGTACAGGTGTGTCAGTTGTGAGTGTTATCAGAAAGATATAACTTTTATGCGAACTGAAGTGACGTAGTGACTCACCGCCTCCAAGTTCCCGCACGAAGTTCGAAATCGGTAAATCCGATGGGAGCTCCTTGCCGTCATAAATTCCGACTAGCGACTATAATCTTTACAATGCGAAAGAATTATTTTTGCTTTGCGAACGAATCAATGAGTAAATTTTACATTGCATCGAAAAGTTCTTTTTATTTTGGTCCTCATTATTTTTTATGGTAGTAATTAAATAATACTTCCCCATAAAATTATTTGTAATGAAACACTGCTTGATGTTTCTTCCATCCTGTAGTCATTTACGACTGATTAAATTTATGTGTAGTGACGTGTCACGTGTGCATGCATACATTCTGTATTATTTACTACTTATCAAATATTAGGCCGGATAAACAGAAAAAAAATCTGGTGAAGTATGTACAGATCTACATATATTTGATAAGAGCGAGCCCTGGCGTGATGTGCGCGTCTACTATTCTGTAGTATCGTCAATTTTTAAGAGGCCCTACAACACTTTTTTAAGTAATCATCGAAAAGATTCATTAAAGGAGTTTATTGCATTGCGAATCAACCGCCACGAAAACTTTTTAGAATACGTCAATTACGAGTGGAGACTTGTCGCACGCTGTAAATTTCTTTCTCCGCTCTTCCTGACGAGCACGCGGCTTTACTTCAGTATAATCGCGAGCGTACGCACGTGGCGGCATCCCGCGACGACCGCGGAAACTTTGCATCGGACTGCGCTCAAATCAGTCGATGACCGTGAATTTGGGTATGTGGCGTGGTCATTCGTGTACATGACATCATTCGTAGAAAGAAGATGGAAGTTTTTTTTTTTTAGCTGACTGAGAATTAATTGTAAATTTCAGTCCGCGTGCTGCGCAATAATGTTTGGCTCGCGTGGTTTCCTAAGCCTCAACTATCGACTAATGATCGGCAGCGTCTTCCAACCATGCCAAAAAAGAGTTCATATGATTCGACCTTCGAAAAATTTTCGGCTTGCATTTTTTTTTCTTCAGCTCTACATAATTTCCAGGCAACAATCTTGTTCGCGGTCAACAAGCGTCGGCTTAAGCTAAAGATTTAATGCAAAATACGGCATATATTTTCCTACTTTCTGAATATGAGGGCGCGTTTGCAGAAGTGTGTACAATGCAAGGTATAGAAAATAAATCTTTGTTGCGATCTAAGAATGAAGGCTTATGTGTATAAGTACGTGCGCCTTCATGTACTGTCGATTTAATCACCGACACGTATGAATTTCTATTATTAGCCATTAAGTAATGCCTTCCTCATTACACAGCTGTCGCAGCTTGATAATTAACCGGCACGTAAATATAGCACCTCGGCACTCTGATTTCTGTTTTTCTCTTAATTTGTGTGAACAGTGCCTCGCAACTCCGATGCCAAAGCAGTGCGCGTCGTCGGCTCGGTGGGTCCGTACGACGCGTACTTGTACGACAGTTCCGAGTACAACAGGAGCTACGCGGACCGGATGTCGGTGAACGAGCTGCTCGACTGGCACCGGCCCCGCGTGCGGATCCTGGAGCGCGGCTCTGACCTGCTCGCCTTCGAGACGGGCGTTGGCCCTGGTGAAGCTGCTGCGTGAGTTTCCCGGCACCAGGGCGTGGCTCAGCTTCAGCTGCCAGAACGAGCGTCTCACGGTTAAGAGCGAGAACATCGTGGATGCCATGCGCGCATGCCTCGCCGAGGACTCGGCAAGACAGCTTGCGGCCATTGGCGTCAGCAGCTGCCAGGCACGTTGAGACAGACAGCGCTGTTTTTAGAACCGCGAGTGTTGCAAAGCACTTGCTATCATAATTATACACACGTGCGCTCATATATGCGAGCGCTGAATTCTCCATTAGGGGGGGGGGGGGCAGCGTTTCACTGCACTGTTCTCCCACCCCTTGGTTGAATCTGAGAGAAAACAATGGTTGCAAAAATTAAAATGAAGCGATGATGGAATTTTTACAAAGACCTACCATTGGTCCCCGGCATTCCTTGGGTAAAGGCGGGAGGAGGGGAAACATTTGTTTAGCACCATAGAAATAAATAAATAAATAAATAAATAAATAAATAAATAAATACGTTCAGCGTGCGAAAGTTCACTCTTGGTCAGGGGACCAAGCCTCCTTGGACCTTTGAGAGGTCCTCTTCCCATAAATGAAAAGTTATTTGAATGTCATACCATATCAAAAGTCCTTTAGCGCGGCTATATATAAAAAAAAAAACTCCTATAGCGTGACTCTGTGTATTAATAAAAAAGGTCCGTTATAGGGCAAAATTGTCGCCACCCTTTGACTAGGGAACGGCCACCTCCTCTTCTTGGTGCACACGCGCTATACAGAGAAGCACCGTAGTTGGTGGGGCAAGTGAGCTATCTGGTTTCCACAGCATAGTCGGCAAAGCTGTCTTCACCGCAGAGCAGTCCTAGTGCAGAGAAGCCAGTTTAACACAGTCGATGCGATTCTTATACAAGGTACTGTAACAAATGTAACCATGCACAGTGATTGTGCAATAATAATACGTAGATTACCTGCTTGCTCTGACAAAGACTCGTCGGTATGTAAATGTAGAATTCAGTAGCGGGACATCTAGACGCGGCGGCCTGGTTGAAACAAAATTAAGTGGCATGGATGTTTATGTTGATGTATTGTTACCATTCCTACATGTCTTGGTCCTGATCAGGATTGACAGTATCTGTAAATAAATATATAAATAAATTGAGAACTTCATTACTTCTTGGTCTGCTGGGCTTCTTTCATGAGGGATCGCTGTTTGTGTTTCGATTTCTTGGATTTCAGTTACATGAAGTGTCATTTATTACTAGGGTGCGAGGTATTGCCATGTTCAGCGTGCGAAATCACTCAGTCACTCATTTTTACCTATATGTTTTTTTTCTTTCTATTGCAGACATGTAGTCAGTCAGTAACGAAGTTTCGATCACGCATTTAGAAGAAATCTTCATTGACTTGTCTCAAGCAATAAGCGCGCGCTCTTTTTAATTTGTGCCTTGTGCGAGTAGCAACAAAGTGCACCAGCCATGCATGCAGTCCAACCTTTCTGAGCAAAAATGCAAACGCGTGAAAAGTACATCGAAATACGGGGCACCATACTACCGCGCATTGCGTGCAAATTTTGAATAGTTAATATTGTCCCCGATTTTCTCACGATAATTGCGTAACCATGTCGACTTTATATATCTACCTACAACTAGTGATATACACATATATATTAAACATGTGTCCAGATGACGGGTTCTCCTTCCTTGCAAGGCACTCTTGTACATCGGCGGTGGCAGCAATCAAACTTCGCGTGTGTACCCATATGTGTGTTGTACCATGTAACGCATACAAGCCGAACAACGTCGATGTGGTTTCGCATGCTCACCTTGATTTTCAAATTAACGTAGCTGCCGCCTGTCTACAACGTGATCACTTTCTTTCCCGGTTTACACACTATTCGCTTCTCCAAGAATGCGCGCTTCACCTACTGCAATACGAGACATAGTTCCGTGTATGTGGTTTCTCACGCGTGTCTCAATAACGTGTCGTCCAGGCGCACATGGTGGCGCCACTGCTGTCTGGTGTGTGGAAGAGCGGAAGGCCACCACTGGTCGCTCGGCCAGACGCCGAGTTCCACGAAGTTGGAGTATTCGGCCAGCCACCCAAAGACCGCGAGAAGCTGTAGTCGCAGATGGTCGAGTGATACGGGTTTGGCGTCAGATTCTTTGAAGGTTGCAGCGGCACAGGCATCGGCCACATGTGCATCGTTGTCGAGGCGCAATGAAGGCCCCGTTAAAAGCACTCATTAGGCGCACAGTTTCGAATTGGGAGTTCTCAAATAACATGTATTTAATAGTTTCAAGCTTATACTTTTGTAACGCGCGGCACGTCATTGCAGCGCAGCGCTCTCTGCTGACTATGACCTGTCGCAGCACATTATATACTGTTTCAAAAGTGTTGCCCGAGCGGATCTCCCTCAAGGGCGTTTACACATGCTTTCAAAACGAGATCAGGAAGAGAGATGGGCTGCTTGTTTTGGCGCGCTCAAAATATGTATTGTAGTGAAGAGGAATGCCCACTACTGCAGCGACATCGACACGTTGGCGCGAGCCAAGGCTGCCTGGTTGCTGCTGCGGTGCTGCCCGTATACTCGGCCTGCTCTTGCTGCTTCTGTACCAACGCTGCTACCGCTTTTGACCTTGCATTTACATTATAGTATATGTACGTCACGAAAACACGAATGCATACCATCCTCATTTTCATGCATACCATTTTCTTCTACAAATGCATACCATGCAAACCTCGGGCATACCGAATTTGTGAGCAATCCTAAATTTCCCGAATAAATGTTATCCAAGTTTAGCAGAATTATGTTTATTTATTTATTCAGGTTGCCCTACAGGCCTCAGAGGAGCATTGAGTAGGGGATAGGGGGGGGGACAGAATCATAATAAAGCATTAGAAGAAACTACATGAAGAAACGAAAATTATACAGTAGAAGGGAAAAGAACAAAGATAAGAAAATGCAGTAAAAAACGAAATAGAAATGTTGAAAGCACCTGGAAGTAGTTGAATAGTTAAGGAAAAACATTTGAAGTTATGAAAAGCTCTCAGTTTTTTGTTTGTCCATAGTATAATGTTATGAATAGAGTGTGTGAGCTTTCTTTTTTAATTATAATGCACTGAATGTTAAAAATAGTAATATTAAGCTAGACAGGCCTGCGAAAACTCAACTATTCATGTCGAACATGAATAGAATATCCAACTCCCAGCTACTCAAATACGGGCAATACTGTTGGCAGCAGCAAACACAGCAAAAGCTTGCAGATGTTTCCAACTGTGAAAGAAAGCTACAGTTTTGCTGCAAGAGCAAAGCAATGAATGTGACAGAAACAAGTTGGAATGTTAGACTAAGTAAGGCGAACTGTTAACTCCTTCAGCATCCAACCTGGGACAAGGGAACGCAGACTCTGCAGCGAGCAAAGCGGTCTTTGTGTTGTCTATTGCTCCAACGCACGGTGAGAACACAGCACGCATAAAGGTATAATGAGAGGCTGCTATAATCCTTCCCACGGCAGCTTAATGTATGCATTTTCTGTGTCGTTGAGTACCATCTTTGCGAAGAGCAAGGAAAATGCCTGACAAGGCATTTGCAATAGTGAATTTCAACTGGTCAGCATTATAATTACTGCTTTAACTGTTTAAACTGAAAGTGAACCTTATACTGGCATGCTTATTGGTGGCAAGCACCCACATACTTCTCCAACAGCCAGTGGCTAGTAATGCGGTAGAAGGAATGCAGACCACTCCTAGCAAAAAATCTAGGCTGATCTATCTGTACACTCAACATCGGTGCCATGACAGACGTCTTTGGCACAAAATAGTACCAAGGTATGCTGCTGCCAGCAACAGAAATACAGTGAGCAATACTTTAGCTGTATATAATAATACATCAAGCTCGGCGTTATCTTTTCCTGCGGAGGAACTTCAAAAGTAGAATTAGTTGTGGCCCACTGTACCACTTTGCAAATGCGACATATTATTATCAAGCTTATGAGGTTTGCAATGCCATCACTTGTGATGTGCAAAGTGCACCACGATACAACTACTCCAGGATGTGCACTGCTTTTATTTGCATCCACCAGCGCCACTGGGACATGACACATTGATTAGCACAAATTTTTACGAACTTAAGCACTTAAGCAAATCTATTTAAAAGCCCACACCGCTCCACAGACGCACGTACTGCTACCTCCGAGGTGCTTCTCTCCTTTTTTAGTCTGAGAGAATGCTTTTCATAAAGTGTGTTCTTTCACAGTGCATTACAAAATGTTATGACACACTGACATTATATAACAAAATTTGAAAGCAGAGGAAAAAAAGATCACACCAGCCATTTTTTTATCGATTGGCACAATACCACATAAAATTATAGGACATTGTAAGGGCATTAGCTTCGATAACACCCAACTGGCAACAGCTTATATAAAAGTCGCAAACAAATGCACTCTACAAGATATTTTGCTATAATCATTGAAGTGCCACAGAGTACACCAAACACAAACTACGAACTTCGGACATTTACCATCAACCCAATCGAATGGCAGCCCTAAATGTTGCTGAAACATGATATTAAAGACAAACAACATCAGTAGTTGCAAAACCAAAAGAGAACATGGGATCAGTAATGCTCCATATATGTGCCAACTTCAACACCAATTCATGTGCTACTGCATAAGATAGCAATTCGGACGGTCAGAAATGCGTGCAAAAAGATATTAATAGATTATTGCATATGCAGACAACTTTTCTTTAGAATATGCAAGAACTTTACAAGGGCCATAATTTTGACTAGACGGTTATTCACTTTCATTTAAAACGGCACATAAACGACAGATGAATACTTAAGGTGAGTCATAGCAGCAATGTACCGTATTTACACAATTGTAGGTCGGCACATCTTGCCTTAATTTGAAATCCGAAGTTGGGAGGTCGACCTGGAATCAAAAACTAGTTTCGATTGTTAAGTCATTCTAAAAACAATCTATGCGCCATTTTTGCAAAGCTCGCTTTTCTGCACAGCTTTCAAACACTGCCATGAAGCCACCCTGCAATTTCAAGGAGGTTGATTTATATTTGAGTTTATTTGCAATTGTGTAAATATGGTATGTCTTATATGTGTTCATCTGTTGGTTATGTGTTAAAATAGACGTACTATTGAAGTGATGGAGTAACTACAGGGCCTACGCTTCCTTGCTTTCATTCCAGCTTTTTCTCACAGAACTGCCACTGTCAAAGCAAGTGCAACGGTGATAGTATATTGCAAACTTTGGGAGAATAGTGAAAAATGTGCAGCATACACCAAACAGTGAGAATGAGCGAAATACGTTTCTCCATTGTGCTCCAACAATCGCTTCATGCCAAGATAGTACTTGGCTACATTAACAAACAACAGTGCTAAAGAGAAGTAAAAAAAAAATTGCTGCATGGAACTTTGGATTCTTCAACACGTAGATGTCTGCAGAAGCACACATTTCCAGGATGTTGCAGTGTTGTGATTCTATAATGAACATAGCAAGCCTCTTATAATACAGGCCATATTTTCAACCTGCAAACTAGATATGTTGACTATATTTGTTCAACTGCAACATTTAAAACCAACAGCAGAGGACATGCACTGCATTCAGTGTCCATCAATGCACTGCTCCATAAAACAGCGCTTCAAACATAGAGCTCAAAGTCTATCCGCCTTGAGCTGTAAAATGGACGATCTGTTTCGTGCGCTTTCCTGACCCAGACACCGTCTTGAAAGTATCCCTCCTGCACCCACTGCAGCATCTGTGCCGACGTGTGCAGCCCATACACTGGTGCGTCATCAGATTCCTCCCACTTGAACTCCCACATCACTTCGTCCTCTGCTACTGATGAGCTCACTGGTTCTGCGTCTGAAACCAGAAAAGTGACAATGATGTGAAACAAGAAGATTTTTAGAACATATAATACCCCTTCATAAGAGATATACCAGGAAGCTGTTCTTGGCCTTTATGTGAGGTGTCTTTTATAAGCAGCATACCAGCTTCCTATTTTCTCTTTAACCCTTCTTTTTATGTAGGCACACTGGTGTCTCTAATGCTCGATGGTTTGTTCAATCAGTGCCTCTTGTAAAATGGCTCAACTCTATAGGCTAAGGCAACTAAACAGCCTGCTTTAAAACACTAACGCCATTCTTTGAAGGTGATAAATTGTGTAGGCATGAAACCGGTGACTTTCCCCTTTAACTGCAATGGTGTGCTTTTGAAGCTAGAATGTTTATTCCTTAATTATGGGACAAGTTAATTTATGTCAGCAAATTTAGACACACATACTCTAATGCCAGTGCCTTTATTGATCTAGTTAGTCTGATGACAGTACAAGATTTTGTGTAACCACATCCATCAGGCCAATAGCCAGGGGGTGCCCTAAAGGGCCCCTTCCCCTCCCTTCCAAAAAAAACAAAGAAAAAGAATGAAAAAAAAATGTGTGAAGAGGAGGTATTTTACCAAGAATTAATAGTGAAAATAGGTGTTTTTCAATGCCTTCAACAAGTGCCCCCCCCCCCCCCCCCAAAATGCCTGGCTACGGGCCTGGCATGCATTTTTAAAATGACATTGTCCCTCTATGAGCAAAAACATGAGTCAAAGAAGGTAACTATGACCATATACCTTCACTCTTGCTCTCAGCTGCTGCTTTCTCATCTTGGGCGGGTGATGGCTCAGTAGCTTTAGTGCTGTCGGCATCATCTGCAAACATGTCAAAGGAAGACCCCTCTACAGCTGTAGTGGCTGCCTTGGCCTCTTTGGCCTGTTGTTTGTGTTCTCGCAAGAACTTGAGCCGCTCGTATGTCTGCTGGTAGATGTCCATGTCACCAGTTGACACCAGCCGGTCGGCTAACTCTGTCATCCGCAGAAGGGTCTCCTTAGGTGCCACATCCTTAGTGCTGTCTGAAGAGTACAGAGAAAGAAAAATGCAAGTATGCTTTGCTTAGTTTCTGAAAGCTGCAGCATGTTTTAACTTGAGCTGCACGTATGTGCTATGTAACCACAACTTGCTTCAGAACACATTGCAGTGACAGTTGCCGCTCTCCCTTCTGCACTTACAATGTAATTGATTCTGGAGTCTATCCAGCACTTCAGTGGATGAGAAACTTGCAGATAAGACCTCAACATGGATGTAGGTGGTTACTTGACTCTTTTGTTACCACGCCTATCCAAATCGATCACCGGTGATTGACGCTTTTGAATAATCGATTCTGGCATGTTAAATTTGTTTCTCGTGCACACAGCACTTTCTAGTAGTTAGTCAGGGCACTGAGCTTTCAGAATCAATTTGAATTTGCTCGTTTCGGCAACATAGTGATTTTCGACAGACCTTTGCGCGAACCAATGTGCGTGTATTATTGAAAAAATGCACTAGGCTGGCGAACTTGACAAAAGTGTGTACACCTCGTGATTATGGTACAGTAACATCGAAGTTCTGAAATGAAAAGAACCTTTGCAAGCCAAATATCAAATTATAGTGTCAGCCTCGCAATTTGACTATGTTGAGCAGTAATGATAGCCAGGAATTTATGCCATATATTCAATAGAAAGCTGTTCCTAGGAGTCAGGAAAAAACTTGTTCTACAAAAAATATTTGCGAAGGTCCGCCGTGTGTTTAAAGTGTTAAGGTGGCCTTCTATGACAATTTCCAGCAGCTTTGGTTTTCCTTGCATCGTTATATCAGACACAGGGTCTCATCTAGTGTCACTAGTCACTCCTACGATGTCGTCACGCACGCTTGGGGTGCGCATCAGTGCTGAAAAACACATGTCCTGCTCACCTGAATTGAGTGACGACGAGCTTAGCGTTCGAGGATGACAGCACCTCTGCTTCAAGCTTTAAGGTGACGATGTTCTGCGTCAGCCTTATACATCCATAGTTGTTCATGGGTTTGTTTTGTTTACATCCTCAAGTAGTTTGCCCCGCGGCAAGTGCGTATAGTTTCTGACCTTTGCGCACAATCTTATAGCTACTCTGGTTACGTGCATGATCTACACTTCGCTGGGGCGCAGTGTGCTGGCACTGGCTGCAGAGCTTCTCCTAACGACTAGAAGGCCTCCTGAGCACATCTTGGCCTCAACTACGAAGCAGTGCAAAACGTTTTAGAACTGCGGCGATATTGTCCTCTTTTTTAATACGATATGCACAAAAATCCAAAAAATATGCTTGGATGCATATATTGGAAAGCCAACCTATATGGTGAAAGGTGGCTCATGGAAAGAGGTGACACTTGATGAAATAGCGAAGTTTATTGGGCATCTCATTTATAGAGAGATTATTCACATCACGGGCATACATCTACCTCCATTGGAACACCAGGAGACTCTTATCCCAACGCAACAAAATATTACCGAAAAAAAGTGTACAAGTACACTTGCTTCACAAAAAAAAAACATGCAATGCTTCACCGCATGGCACGAGCAACGAAGCAGCACCTCGATTCTGATGTTCTTTGTCTATGTAAAGAGAAACATTTTTGTACAACATTCATTATTTTCATACTATTTCTGAGTCATTTATCTACATAATGTATATTCTAAATTTTCTTTGTTTTGAATATTTTTGCCTATATAGTGTTTTTTATTGCACTGTTTACTAGCTTGTGACCGAAAATTCTACACTTTTCACTTTTTATTTGTTTTAAAATATTTTTATTGCTCTACAACACACATTTTTTGGAAAACGCATTTCGTTGTGCAAAGTTCCGAATGCTGCAATGCGTGCTGAAGTACTTTTCCAACTGGCAAAAATCGATCTTTTAGAGACATATGAAAAACAACCATTTTTGCGCGGTAACGAAAGAGGACGGGCACTTGAACGACACCACTCCGGATTAGGGAACTGCACAGAAACTTGTGTAAAGCATACATCACTTGATAGCAATCATAACTAATCCTGGTTTGGGAATAGGAAAGAAAGTTGGGGGAAGCATACATCGCTTGATGTCGATTGTACCTGAAAAGTGTGAAATGCCTGCATGTCGTGCGGGGAAATCGTGCTTAGGGAAAGAATCATATGCATGCATACCTATATAACAGGTGCTATGCAGAATAAGTACAGTGCTAGCCCATGCTAGCCCAAGGCAAAGAGACAGTATGTCAGCTTAGGCAGTGAACCTTTTGCTCCTTCACTGCTCCTTAACCATGGCAGTAAACCATGGTTAAGGAGCAGTTAAATTCCTTGCGACCTTTAACAATGAACAAATAATTATTATTCAGTAGATACCCATCTAGATGGCATGTTACAACTTAGTGTGCATATAACCAAAATTTACAAGGCCAGCAGAGACCCCTCTGTGGACCTTGTTGACCAAGTCTACTGTAAAAGGCCAAGTTGTTACTTGGACATGGTTAGTTAAAAATTTATAGTACATTCTACCCAACCAACCTTTGTATAGCTTTCCGGCTTCTAAATGTATAATTTTCCTTTTAACAGTTTTTATATAGCAATGCAGACACATTAGTTGGTTAGTGGACACGACCTTTATCTCATCACACAACCTCCCAAATTTTGAATCTACTGTAGGCACCGTCCGATTTCAGAAGTTCTGCAAGTCCACTGCTAGCTCTATTCTGTCTCCTGCATTGCTCCTAATAAATTGTTACGTCAGCACGATTACAGTTTCTTAAGTTTTTTGTATTAGAAATGTACCCACATTTTGGAAGTTTTTCACGACACAATTGTAATTTCAAGGGTCAAACTTTGCATGGAGCCAACCTTACACCCACACCACCTGAAGCTAAGTACTGTACCCGTTCAAAAACGTTTTTACAGTTGGCTTTCCAGATGGACGTGAAAGCAAGCTAAACTGACAGATTGATATTCAGTAACGTACAATGTGTTGACTTTGCCAAAAACGGCAACTACAAGCGAGCTGACAATGGCATTAAAATGATGTCGGCGCATCAACCCTGCCGCCAAGGTGAAAGCGCAACTAACCTGGCTCAGTAGCCTCCTGCTTCTTTTTCTTCCAGCGGTTTATTGTTGAGTCCCGCTTGCCACCACCCAGGCGTTTGATGCACGACAGCACAGTCTCGCCAGGCTGCATGATCTCCAGCATGTCTCCGTAAAGTGCCAATGCGTCCACACGCTCCTCGTCTTCAGAATCTTCCGTGCCCCTGCTGTCCTCTACAACTTGCTTTGTCGGTCGCACCTGAAAGAGAGCAGGAGCATAGAAACACTTGTGCATCACTTACATGCACCATCGGCAGGATGTTCATTGTAGGCACATGCGAATGGCGATTTTTGAGAACAAATTGTACATGGATTCTAATGACGTAACATTCTAGTATTCACAATTTTTGTACCGAAAGCATGAATGGAGCGTCAGAAACAAACAAGCAAATTTTTCACACATACAAAACGAGAGTGATAATGATTACTGTAAGGCTGGCAAAGTGTGGCATCCCAAACGAAGTGGTCTGCTGTACTACATAAGGTTTCACATTTTACGACTATACCATGCTTGCGGGAACAAAATCTATCCTACTTTTATGCATATTCTGTGCTTATCTCAGTGCGTGCAATCAACATTTTGAAATGTTACCCAGGGTTACCAACACTCCATTTTTCTTATGTGTCTGAACATCTTGCCAGTAGCCACATTGTTGTGATATATGTAGAGGGGCCCTCAATATGATTCAGAGCCCCGAATCGGTGGCCGTCTGTCAGAAGAGTACACCCGCATATGGTCTGCGTGTGTGTAGAATAACTGGCAAGCAAGCCTTGTTTTTTAGTGTATTTAGATAGGTGTTGCCTTGCATTAAAGAACGTGGGCTTGGTCCCTCTGCCACAACACATATGGGAGTATCGGGACATTGCTTACAGCATGCTCATGCTCAATACAGCATAATATCTCAACGCGGCAATAATGCTTGTGCCACATGTTCTCTTCATTATTAATACTTGATTAACAAACTTTATTATTATTGAAATAAACTGAACTGTCAATTAGTCTTAATATGACATGCCTATTCTTATCACGGAGTCGCATATTGATGTGCAGTACTACCTATTGTATATGCAACCCTCACTTTTAGTTAACAGTAGTTACAAGCTTACTAATACATTATAGCATGCTCTAATAAATTAGTCATGTGATCTCCGTGTATGTAATTACTTTTAATTGGTTTTCTGACATTTGAATTACTCTTAGTTAATTGGTGCTTAATTCACTATCACATGCTTATTTAAACGGTATATGTGTATACACTTAAACCTCACAATAACAAAGTTTCATCTTGCACGACAATAAGTTCATTATATCCGAAAATTCATGATAAAGGTTTATTCCTAACACTATATCTGTTGCAAGACTACTAATTTACTTTGTTATAACCAATATTTCGTTATATCAAGGTTTCATTATATTCCAAAAAAGAATTAATTGTTGCACTAGTTCATCGTACACAACTGGCTCAAACATATTAACATCAAAAATAAAGCGCCTTATTTCATGAATTCACCCTTTTATTCCTTGCACTACAATGTCTCGGCTAGTTACGTAGGTGGTTTATTATGCCACTTTTTGATTCTGCTACCGCAAGTGGTGTCAATAACGAGTGACCAGATGCTCACATTTTTCAACTGAGCCACATGGTCCTTCTCTGAAAGCCACCAACGACGACTAATGTGCATGTCCAAGCATATAAGGTATGTTCCACTATGTGCACACTGAGCCTACTAAACACCACATCTGCAAAGTCCACCTGCAAAATGCTAAAATGCATCCAACTCTAGTATTTTCGAGCAAGGCAATACTGCTTTAGATGCTCCGGGGAGTGAAGCAAGTATGCTAGGGATACAGTGCATGTGCAGCAGACCCAGGTACTATTTTTTCACCAGTGCGCTCCACTGATGAGCAACCACCGTTTCACTGAACCGTGTCACACACACAAGACATGATGCGAAAAAGCAACACGAAAATCTTTGGTGGAAACCAAGCTCACCTTGACCCAGTCAATGTTGTCGAGCCAATTATCACGTATCTCTGGTTTGTCTCTATTGAAGATGAACATTCCATCTTTGTCAAAATGACCGTCCTCCATTTCATCTTCCATATTGAACGGAGTGATTTTGATGTTCCCATCATACTCGATTGTTTTGTCTTCTTGCCCTATACCAGGGATGAATAAGGTAATAGCATGTTGTGCACAACTTTAGGGATATGCTTCGGCCACACACTAAAATAAAATGACTGATGTAGCCCTCAGCTTTACCTTCTAACAACAGTAGTTGCAACAAGAAACTACTGCATAATCACTTAACATCTGTAAAGCACACAATACATTTAAAAAATAATTCTCAGGAAATAATTTTTGTTATTCATGAAATTTGGAACAACGGTGCTTCTCTTCAATTTTTACAAAGCTGTCACATTATTTTAGGTGGCTTAGCTTGTGTTGTTATCAATGGTAGACAATGAAAAAAAAAGAGACTCTATAAACAAGAATATATAACCTCTTGTTATAAAGTGCACTTTTCTATTAGTAGGCATTCTTAAAAAAGTTCCAAATGCAAACGCTCCAGACCTGCCCTGTGAAAAATTCTTTGAATCTCAGATACCTTGAAATTTTGAAGGGCACTATCTAACGCTCGGAAAAATTTTTCCAAGTGTGGCACAATTGAGAAGATTGTTCATCACATCGACAACAATAAGCATGGTTTTTACCCATAAAAAAACTAATAACTTTAACTTGATGTTGAAAATCGACAAAAATTGACCGCTAGCCTCAGCCAACCATGATATGGTTAATCTACTGGTAGGACAATAAATCCTTGCAGGTAGACTTATTTTGCTAAAAAACAAGCATGTATAGCTTGCGACAGTATTTTACATGCTCGAGGCAGCTTTAGATTTAGACAAAAAGTGATTTTTTTTTCTCTCACGCATTTAAATAAGCACCCAGTGGCACTGCTGGCAGTGTGTTAAGCTTGCCTGCATGCCTGCCTGCAAACGGTGGAAAAACGCGAGCACGGCGTCCGCCGCTGCTTATAAGAACGACAAAACAGTATGTGCGTGCCTTAAATGACCACTTAGATATTTAATAAACAAAGCTTTATGAAGCCTGCAAAAACTGCACCCGGTTTCAATTTTCAACTTTCTCCGGCAATATAAGTGTCATCGCCTCCCCCAACCAGTGTTGTGGACAATCATCCGACCGATGTAGAGAGACCGATAGCAGATGAAAAAGTTCTGTTTTAAAAATTTCTACACATTTTCCAGGGAAACCACAGCAAGGTGAGACACTTCAGATGGTACGTTTTTTATTTCAACACAAAACATAAAGGCAGTGAAAGACGGTAGACAGTCCCTTAAAGCATTTACTGAGTTGCTTTAATGAGATATGGAACATTACAAACATTGAGGAGTTATGGATGAACTTTCATCTCAACACAAAATTCTTGGGTACACAGAAAGTATGTTCAGCATGTCGATACTTGTGCACACATCCACGGAGTTTCCTAAAATTAACTAGAGGGGACTCTAGCACTGCAATCGTTCTGCGAGCATGGGAATGATGGGTAGCACAGGGATTTGCCTAGTCTTGTTACTTGCGAGTCGCGAACTGCCCTTGTGGCTTCGTTTATTGCTGTGTTTTGGTTTTGTTTCGCAGGAAAGAACGAACCCTTTTGAACTTCGCGACCCAATTTGAAATGGTAAGCCTAAAATATTAATGTGACGAAGCGCAACTGCTAAGCATTTGCTGATTGTTGTTTCCTGACAAAGCAGCTTCAAGCCATGTGAAGCCAAAAGGAACGTAAAGCACGAAGACTAGGCAAACTCGTGTACTACCCATAATTCCCATGCTCGCTGAAGTGCCATGCGTTGCGGCCCCTATAGAAACTAGCACCAGAGTTCCCTCTAGTGTATATATAGGAAACTCTATGCACACAGCAACATTGAAGTGAATGTAAATGAAAGCTGCTAATGATATCTTTAACGGAATAGAAACAATTATGTAGAATTAAGTGACAGAAAATAAAGATTACTTGGTTCATCTTCCTCTATAATCCTTAGTTGCGCATAGTGCCTGAGAATAAAATAACAGATGTCAAACTATGACAAAAGTTATTGTTTTAATGTAGTGTTGGATTAGGTTGAACTGTATGGTTCAAATTTTACTTCATATTGACAGACACAGAATATGCTGGCCTAATGATGCTTAGGAAATGAGGTCTTTAAAAAAATGATGACTTCTTGATAAAACAGCATAGCCACAGCCTGAAAATGTGCACAGGTCACTTGCAAAGTGTGTAATTTCTATCCTAGAAGCAGAATGATATGAGGTAGGTGTTGTTGGTTATCTGCAATTGTGCAGGAAAAAGATCATTAGCAAAAAGAGTATGACACTACCTTGAAATGTTTAGCATGCTACACATAGTCGGGTCGATTGATACCATCTGTACAAGCCACCGTGTTGACATTTTTGATGTGCTTAGAGGCAAGGATTTTGCTTCGCAGGACATTGCATCAGGGAAGCTTACCTTCCACATCATCTGGGTTAAGCAAGTTGTACTTTTTGTCTTCAACTTCATCATCCTCCTCATCACTGTCTAAGGAGTTTTTAAACTTTTTCTTTACGCCTTCATCCACTCCTTCCTTTCCAAGGAGCTCAGTCTTCCATCTCGTCAAACTGTACTCTTTTTGATGACGTGGTCATGATATGTCCCGCTGTATAGTAAAACAAATGGAAAAAATACATTCAGTTAGTACTGCAGTAACACATATATGTTCACACTACCCACTGTAACGATTCCGAAAAGCGTTCACAAGCCACGCGTGCCATGTATTAGAACTTCCATGATACATGCATATCTTTGTCGCAAAACAATATGCAAAAGTTATAATCCACAAACAGACATTTAGATAAGCTTCTAAAGAACACGTCACGTGAATATGTGTGACGGTTAACATTTGGCGTTAGTCGCTCTTGAGACACCAAGGTACACAGCGCTCTGCTCGCTCAGTTTATTTGCATAATGCCTTAAGACATTACGGCGCAAGCTAGACATGACAAAGGCAACACTTGCGATATACACCCTTCGTTAACGCCAGTTTCTTTAAAGGCAATCGGAGTAGATCATAACCACACGTTCCCATGCTAGGCATGCGGGTGGGTTCGCAGTTGGCGGCAACTGCTCGTTCGCCGGTACATGGTGTACGTCACGTACTGCAGCCTGATTGTTAGCACAAAAGAAAGTAATATAAGTAGGTGAGCAAAACGCACCGTCAGCGCTGTGAGAAAAGCATAAAGAACCCTGAAATTGTCATTTTGCGCACAAGATTGCGTGCGTTTGAAGTGGATCGTCACTGAGGGATATCGTAAACGTAAACAGAGAAGTTCTAGGGGGCCTCTAGGCTCGTTTGGGGATTTCCCTAGAGAAACCAACATCGCCGCCGATATCAGTTGTTTTTCTGAGGGCGGTGTTGTTTAGGCGCAACATGAAACATGTCCGAATTCTTATTTAAAACGACACATTATTGTAGAGCTGTAATTGAAACGTGTGCTTCATGTGTGCATTGAACGTCGATTTATTATAGCGGCCAAATGCTCTGGAAGCGCTCAGGAAGGCGAGCTCCTCTGTGTGTGGTTCCTCTGGTCATTGGGAAGCACAGAGCAGTGCAGCTGTTCATCAAAAGTACTTTATATTCTCATAACTTTTAGTTGTCAATTGTAAAGCAAAGTATTTTCTGTTAAGGCTAGACGCGTGCGTGTATTAATAGGCTACCACAGGTGACAAGTGTGCTTTCGAAGATAAACGCAACCAATGAAGCAAATGAAACTAATTTGTCATCAGAAAAGCTTTTCTGGTAAGTGCGATATACGCTCAATTGCCGTTTTAGCTCTACTGCGCGCGCGATTGGCGACGAAATACTACACGCGGTTGTACTTTCTCGATTTTGAGCAGATGACAGCCTGATAATCGGCGCCAAAGACTTTCCGGGTCTGCAGATTGGAGACATCGTCGAAATATACCTTCCCGATGACACTTTTAGGTAAGCCTGCGTAATAACAGTTTGGTCCATTCTGTCGCATTCGTAGCTTTGCTGGAACAAGTGCCGGTATCGCTGTTGGTATATATGTGCATACCACCTGTTGCACGGAAAGCAAGCTCCATCAAATCATGTGAGAATGATGAATCGTGTTGTTACATCTTACAGCCGCCTACTGCTACAAGTGACAATACTGAAAGAAGACTTTCAGAAAGGTTTGTTTCTATCTTGTTTCATAACTCACACTAACTTAGCAGTTTTTCATCCGTGACGGTCTCATGAGTGACGCTTATGGGAACTCCTTGGCATGTCTCAGTTACCATTCCCACATCACATTAATAATTGAAGATAAATTGCTAGTCCATGATGTATCACTTGAAAGATGAAACGTGGAATTAGGCCAATGCTGCGACTGTTCAGACACCTTGCTCTTTATGAGACTGTCATGCTGTGAAATTATTCAAAAAACGGCCGTAGGAATAGAAAATGGAAGCTTGCTATAAAAGATCCGTAAACAGGGCCTCTATCGAGCCAACGCTTCAACAAGCGGACTTGCCTTCCTCAAGGCTCCTGAGTATCTCGAAACGTTGACTCGACGTTGGCCCCTGTTTACGGATTTGTTATCATAATGAAATTATTGTAATTCGAGTTAGTAAGTGTAGTGAATGTCTATTTCATAAATGACTTTCTACGGGGCAGTAAATGAATGTTATTTCTGAAATTTGGTGTCTTGCTTAGAGTCGTGGCTAGCAAAACCAAAACCATTCGCACAACATTGCACTACTTGTTTTCAGTTATGGTAATTATGTATATCAGAGTTGATGCTGCTGTATTCGCTGCTCACGCTCAATCTTTTACTGCCTGTGCATGCCACCTAAGTTTCTAGATTTCCACGAGCATGCCATATTCTTAATCAGGTCTATCACCCACACTAAATTAAGGCTTCTTCTTTCTTCTAATTATCAGATGCAATCAGCGTGGAGCAAAGCCTTGCTAATGCCTTCCAGCTCAGGGTGTATGCTGATGTCATCGTTAACAAGGTGGATCCAAGGGTTTGTTGAATGATACTGTTGCTCCTTTCAGCTTCCTCAGTTTGTGGCTTATCGGCCGTATTTCGCGTTTCAGGACGTGGCTCTTGATTCAGTTGAGCTTGTGTTTAAAGACCACTATCTGGCTCGCAGTGACATGTGGCGCTGGAAGCAAGCTATGGTGAGTTTACCCACTGTACGTGATTCATTGCTTTTCTTTCTGTTGTGCCAAATATTATTAGTGAAATTATTCGTTTCGGTTGTCGTGAGTGTGTGTCCGTGAGTTGTCACAAGTCTCATCGGAGACATCAAAGAGAACATTGTACACTTATGATCGTTCTGTTATGCTTTTTCATTATTTAGATCAATACATGTGTTTACACCAAGAAACTCATCAAGATTCATTCAAGCATGTGAGTAGTACGCAGCATGAGCGTGTTTGTATTAATAGGCCTTCACAGGTTTCTTCTTTATTTTTATCCTTGTTATTCGTTAGATAATTGAGTCAGTGACATCCTAAGTGTAGTTTACGAAAAATGTGGTGTGATGTGCAAGAATTACTCGTCAGTCTCTCAACGTTTAGTGAAGTCTCAGTATGCAGTACGTTTCTTTACATTCCTCAATCTCTTGGAGCTACTGCCACTTTAAAGGACCTGGAATTCACAATAACTTCTCGGAGATTACTAAAAGTTGCTTTCTCTTCTCTTGACAAATGATGCTACAAGCTCAAAAAATCACTCATCACAGCCATCGTATCAGCCATTGGCTGATTTGAGCATGGCGCGCTCAGTTCTCCCTGGGACCACCGTAGGAGGTGGCGATTTGTTTACGTGTGTGCTTGTGATCGCATCAAAAAGCCGTGTATTCGAAGGGAAAAAAAAAGAGGAAAAGTGTTCAAGGTCATGAGACAGGCGGGATGTATTTTCTTTCCCGTGCGATCCCTCCGTGCTGAGCTTCCAGCACTTTAGTCGGGACGAGAGAATGCAATTGCAGCGTACGACAAATCTTTGTAACTTTACTTATACTGTGGGGACTCTAAGAATGTTTGCGGTGATGAATTCGCGAAGCAATTAGCTCCTATAGTGAATCCATTCCATGGCTACTTAAAAAAAGTGTTGCAGGGGCCCTTTAAGGTGAATCAGCCTCATGTTGCTCAGGAGCAAAACTGCTGGGCCATTGACAAAGAATGATGATTTCACTACTTTCATTCTGCATGCAAAAATTTATGTAGGCAGAGCTATACAGCCTTTGTAATGCTTGAACCTGTCGTCACACTTTTGGACATGCATTCAGGGAAAGGTACGCTCCGTTTAAGTGCAGACAGTACATTTGCTTGCGTGAATGCAGCAGCACGAACATCCTAGGAATCTGTTTACTGCTTCACAATAAATGTTTTTTCTTGTGAATACGCTGCAGCTGTGTTTCAGAGTGCTCAAACACTTTGTATTCTTGGTTGCTATATGCACTCATTAGAAAAACGAACTGGTGCTTGAAATGATCTGGCACAGGTGCCATATCATATTGACTAGTAGAGACTGGTACTGACTCGTACTTGACTGTTAGTAGAAACTCTAGCATAGGTTTGAAATAACCCTAGCATAGGTGGAATGTCATGCCTGCTGCCGTTACCTAAAGCACATGGTAGTAATGTAGTGTTACTAGTTTTGACATCCTGGTTTTTCTCGCATGGTAAAAACTGCTTGCATTTTTCCTAGTATTTAGATAAAGCACTAAAACAGGTGCCACTGGTTACTAATCTGAGATTAAGATCCCAACATGCCTGAAGGCAGCACCATTTCTTGCCTTTTTTGCTTTTTCCTTCTTTCAGTCCCCTTTGCTGTTTGTCATAGTTTAGCATCACCAAAAATAATCTGAACTCATATAGTCAATGTTCTGAGATAGTACCTCAGACCAGTTTTCGTGTGAAAGCGGAATCAGCATGAACAGGCCAACAAAGGCGCAAAACTATGGCGCTGCTGCTCGGTATGCAGGGACCTTTTTCCCATTTCACTTGCTTATTCCCGAACCTTTAAGCGTTTTGAGCAATCCTCCCCACTGTGCAGTGTTACATGTAAAAAAATGTCTCAATTCCCAATCAACATCACTTTGTGATCGATCTACACATGCTAATCTTACATGATGCAGGTCTCCGTGCCAGCCCTTTGAGGGGGGCAAGTGTACCGCAGTCTCAGGAAAGCCTTTGATGTGGTTAGCCACTTTTACTCTTAAAGAAGATTATGCTCTGTGATGTGCTACCTCTCCAGCTGTAGAGCCCTGATCCTCATGAAGCTTTTCTTTAAGGATATTCATTTCCTGGTGCTATTTTATGAGGCCATTGCTCATTCACTCAGTTTCCATTACTTGGTATTTTCTTCACTTGAGTTATTGTTGATGATATTTTGACTGTTGTGCGGTACACCCCTGTTCATCCTTCAGTTTTATGATAACTGCATGCAAGACTGTTTTTTACTGTAGTCTGGCTTGTTTGCTGTATGGTTTTCAGTACACAGTTTCACTCTGATTGGAAGTCAGTGACATGTTCTATGAAGGAAAGAATATTTTTCACTCCTGCTACACTTCACATCCGCCTATAGTTCAAGTAATCGGTTATAGTACTGTTTTTTTTTTTTTTTGACAGCATAAG